AATAGAACTGATGATGAAGTAGCAGCTTGACTGAAACTGTTTTACATTCTCTTGTTAACGTTCGAACTTGCAATTTGCATATTATCCATGGCAGTTAAAAAACTGGAGAGGCTGTCACAGAATGAAATTTAAAAAAGGTTTTGAATGCTGCCTGATATATTTTACAAGAATTTACATGCATGTCAATCCAGGGTTTACATGACAGTTAGTTGCTGGCAATTACAATGTTGACAGACAACATTTGTTGTGAATCATCTGACTTGATGATCAATATTTTGACTAACATTGACAATAGAACCAAAGGCAATAGTTCTAATATGTCACCATAAGAACCAATAATTCAAAATGTTTCTAAATGGTATTTTATTTATTTTTTAGATGGGTTGAAAATAAGAAAGTTGTTTCCCGGTTGATTGAAGTGTAGAAAAATTTGGAAAATTCATTTCATTTCTGGAATGCTTTACCTAAATCAAAACAGCCGAAATGTAAAAGCTATGAGACATTACAAAAGGCACTTCAAGATCATTTAATGCTTCCCAAATTACATTTCTTTGCTTATATTGCAAATATAGTTGAACCTTTTTTGAGCAAATACCAGACAGACTATCCAATGATTCCGTTTTTATTCTTTGATGTAAAGGAAATAATAGTAAAGTTGCTTGAAGTTGTTACAAAACTAGATGTCCTTGAAAAATGCAAAAACTAGAAAATGTTGAAGAATCTTGATCTTTCTTTGACTATTAATCTGCTATCTGATGAAAAGCTTAATGCAGGATTTGCTGTTGCTGAAGAACTACATCATTTGAAAAATAATAACTATATAATGTTGACTCATAGCAAAGATTTCTTTAAGATGGCCAAAAAATTTGTTGTTGCAATGGTGAGAAAGCTTTATGACAAATCCCCATTAAATTATTCATTGATAAGAGCATCCAGTATCTTTGACCCTAATATCTTGATTTAGTTGACAAAACAAGACTGCTGTTGAACGTAGGTTTAGCTTAAACAACTCTTCTGTTAAAACAAACATGACTCCTCCAAGTATTATCTCCAGGAGAATCGTTAAAGACCATCTAATTGCCAATGATTTAAAACCGCACACAGTTCAAATCACCACACCATTGGTCAAAGCTTTTACATCGGCTTGTCAAAAATATATGATTGAGTTGGATAACGCTAAAGAAGAGAAAGAGAAGACAGAGCAGCAACAAAAAGTGATGCATATCACATCTGATATCCAAAAGTTGAATCAGCAAGTTAAGATTGCCAAAAAAGCTATTTTAATGATGGAAAACAAGGTTACTGAGTGTATGGAGCTTGCAGAGAAAAAAAGTGACCTGAGTTAAATTAATAAAGGGAATGGTTTGAAAAGAAAAAGTATTGAAACTAAACAAGAAGTTGATCTTATAGAAAACAAATTGAAGAACTTCAAAAAAAAAAAGAAAAATTATGAAATTAATTTTTGTATTAGCAAATGGTTTGGAACTCTTTTTTAGTATATCATTCATAATTATTTTAAATTGTTTTTCCTTCTTTAAATTTTTTTTGATTTTTATTTGTCTTGTTGAAACATTTTGAAATTTTTTAATCTTAACTAGAAAAAAAAAAATTATTTTTAGTATATGCCTTACATATGAATTTTTTTTTGATTTCATAACTAGATAATTGATAAGTAAAAAAATAGTCATTTATTTCAAATAGTTGTTTGTTAATTCATTTGTAAAAAAAATTCTCCGCCTTACTCAACTGTATTCATGCTTATATAAAAACCTTTAATCAGTTATAGTATAAGGAAATATTGTATTTAGTAATAGTTTTAAAATAAATACTTTTTCCGTTTATAAGCATAGTGTTTTAAATATTTTTTGTTTGCTTTTGGAAATATCATTAATGGTTTTTCAATAATGATGCTGGAAAAAGATATGGTTATCAAGGCTAAAATTCTGAAAAAACATGTCTACATGATGGTATAAATGCTGGATTTTTAAAAATTTTGAGCGGATCACATTTTTAAAATCAAAAATTTTACCAATAAATGTTGTTTCTATAAATGAACTTTTACAAAATATAGTTGTCAAAATTTTAAAAACAAATGTACTTCAATATCACACCTAGTCAGTTTTTAAAAACAAAACAGGATGTTTTTTTCAGCTGTTAAGATTAATTAACTAAGTTATATAATTAAGACTTTTTTTTTTTATATAATTAAGTCTATAAACTAAATTAAATATTTTACAGAATCTAATTTGAAAGTTTTTAAAACTAATTTATTGAAAATTTGATATATCTTTGAAATTAAAGTTCCATATGTTTCAGTTGTTTTTCCAGTTAGATTTTTTGTGCCTAGTAAGATTATAAGCAGCTGAAAGTATTAGCGTCAAAAAAAAAAAATTTTACAGGGGTGTTTTGAGATATTGGGTCCCAAAGTTGGTTTAGAAAATAGTTTTTTTATTAACTTTTAAGGATGTTTCTTTTATATTTCAGCATTTTAAGTACATTTATTGAATTCAGCATCAAAAAAACATTTTATATGCTTATTTTCATATTTTTGCCATTTTTATTTCTTATTTTTTTAAGAAAAACATTTTTTTAGAATGTTATGAAAACCGGGTTATTTTGGGAAACCAGGTCAATGTTAAAATTGCAGTATCTTGTCAACCGCTCAACATTTTTAGCTGAAATTTCATGTTAACTTTTCATTTTAAGATGCAACAGCCAGTTTTTAAAACAACAACAGAAGTTTTTAAAAAATTTGAGGAACCATCGTTCAAAAGTTAATGTGGTTCAAAATTTCCTAAATTTTGGGTAATTTGATGCCGAATTTCTCTTAAAAAAATTTTTTTTTTAAAATTTTTCTTTCTCCTTTTCTATCTTTTTACAAAAAATTAAATTCCTTGTAAAAATGTTATAATACTGCATCAAAAATATTTTTAAAGTGTTGTAAGTTTTTTGCTTTAAGGCAAGTAAAAATACAGCGGTATATATATTTTTTAAAAATGGTACTTGGAAATTTAAATCTTTGTTTGTCACAAAAAAAAGCGCTGGTAAAGTAATTAACTTTTTTTCTTTGCAACAAATAATATTTTTTGTTTGTTAATAACTTTTTAAAAGTAAAAAATCATTATTTGCAAAGTTGGAATTTTAAGAAATAATGAAAAAAAAAAAAATTTTAATTCATTTACTTAAATGTCGAGAAAAGAAAGCGATTAATTTATGTTAAATGATAATAAAAAATGAAGTTTGATTCAGCTTATCATTAACGCAATATTTTAGATCCCTATATTTTTATTCCCTATATTTATGAATGGTAATGTACTTGATGAGTCATCTGCCCTTTTGCAAAATTAGCATCTGTTAAGGTTGCATACCTTTATCGTGCTGGACACTTTCTTACTCCAGATACTTTTTCTTTCTTACTCCTGATATTTATTCTTTATCTCTGTAAATCTCAAATCTGCCCTTGTATGGAATATTGTTGCCATATCTGGGACGGATTTTCCATTGTTGCCCTTTCTCTTTTAGACAAGATAAAAATATTTATTGTAAACAGAGTTGGACCTGCTTTTGCAGCCAACCTCCAACAATTATCACATTTTCATAATCTTGCTTCTCTTTCTCTTTTCTACAAATACTATAACTGGCACTGCTCTAAAGATAGCTCTTTAGCATCTCTTGTGCAATTTAAAAAAATTCATTCTTGTATTACTCGTCATTCAATTAAGTCTCATCCTTTTTGTGTGACTATTCCTAAGTGCTCCAAAAACTCTTGTCCTCGAACATCAGTTCTTCGGAATTCACTTCCTTCATCTTGCTTTGGGATCATCCAAAAAGTATGTATGTTTGGAGGGAAGGAGGGGGTCTGCAAATGCGTATATGAGATAGGAGGGCAGTGGGTTAATTATAAAAGAAAGGAGAAACTAAATTTTAAAAAATATAAAAAATGTTAGATACATAGTTTAAAAGATTAGATACTTTTATGGAGGTGGAGGATACTCAAAAAAGGGGAATAGGGGGGGTTGGACAAAAAAAAACGTACATACTTTATGGACACCCCTTTCCTGGTTCATCTAATTTGCAATCATTTAAGTTGCCTTTCAATTGTTATCTTGCTCTAAAAACTTCATCTTTTCTCTTCCAATGACTTCCAACTCCAACAAGTATATATATATATATATATATATATATATATATATATATATATATATATATATATATATATATATATATATATATATATATATATATATATATATATATATATATAAACACACACACACATAAATTCATATTTAGGTACTTTTTCTTTGTTTTGTGTGCACAATGTTTTATTTCATTTCCGTTGATATTGTTATTGATTTTATTATATATTTTTTACTTATTATTTCGTTTCAATATCAAGTCTATAGCTTGATCCGTTAAATTTTTGTCCTAATAAACTGAACGTTTGTGGTTCAATTCCCACTATAATCATTATATTATATTAAATTTTGCTTTTTTTATTATACTTCTTTCATACCTTGCGAGTGGGTCATAAATTTCACTTTGCAGTCTGAGTTTATTATTTCCATCTGATGCGCGATACCATCATTTCATTATCATTTTTATTTTTTTTACTATACGCTTTACAAATAAATATTATTAGTTTTGTCAGTAAATATTATTGGTTTTGTAAATAACTTGATTGGGGTTAGCATGCTGTATCAGTACAGGTGCGCAAATGCAATTTTGCTTGTCATGTTTCTGAATTTAAATACACATAAAAATTAAGCTCTTAAATTTAACTCCAAATTGTTTTTTTGTTTTTTTTTAAATAGAGTTATTATATTACAAAATGTATATTAATTATATCTATCTATCTATATTATTTAAAGGCAAAATTTTAAATAATATTTGTAATATAAAGAAAATTATCTATTATTTTATTTTTTGTTGTATTTTCAATTAGTGTTTTTTTACACTTTAAAGAATTATGTCATTATTTTATTATAAATTTTTTTTAGTCCTCACACTGCAGTAAAGGTACTTGTTGAGAAATTACAGCAACGTCAAGAGATTGTTTCACTACAAACATTAAATGTAAGAAAACATTGTTACATTGTTTTACACATATATTATACTATTTGATAGGTGGTATTTGGTATTAGTAACTTTAGATTTATTTAGTACATATCGGTGGTGTACTCTCCGTTTTTTTTCCCGGTTGCCCTGCGGGTGACTGAAATAGTATTAATTTTTCATTTGAGTTGTTCGCTAAAATAATCAGTAGTCCAAAATAACAGTTTTTTTTCCAAAATAACAGTTTTTTTTTCCAAAATAACAGTTTTTTTTTCCAAAATAACAGTTTTTTTTTTTTTTTTTTTTTTTTTTTTTTTTTTTTTTTTTTTTTTTGGGTGAAAATAATGTTAAAAAAGATTTGAACATCTGACTACTAAAATAAATCTAATAAAAAACAGTTTAATTAAAAGTAAATTAATTTAAAAAAAAAGGTGAAACGTTATAACCTTTTAGAAATATTGTTAAGTAATTATAGTTACAAAGAAAGATTGGTAAAGAGATAATTATGAATATAACTTTTAAAGATCGTTATTTTTGTTGTACTTGATATCTGTTTTGTTTAGTCAATATTTGTTTTGTTTTTTAAAAAATGCATTTTTATTTTTTCGTTTTAGAGTTTTTAGCGTTAAATCATTTTTTCATTCGGAATTGAAAGAAAATGTAATCTTAAAACTATAAATTGAGAAGAAAAATGCAAGAATAATGTTTAAAAAAATAGAACAGTCGCACTTAGAAATTTTAAGTTGTGTGTCAGCTTCTTTTTATAAAGTTTAGTAAAATTATTTAATGCACCATAGTCTAATTAACAAAGTGTACTACTTTAATCACTTTTTAAAGTTTTCTTTTAAATAATGGCGGGAATAAAATCTCTAAATATCAAAATATGGTTTTATTAATAAGCACACTTTTGTAAGTAATTAACTGCCTGGTTCTCCTGCGGGGCTATGGGCTACTGACAGAAATTTTTTTTAAATTTCAGTCATCTTTAGAGAAATCGTGTTGTCTTATGCCACTGGACGACCACAAGGGTACACCCCTGCATATACATTGATCAGCACTAAGTAATTTTTATTTTTTAAAATGTTATTCAGAGCCACAAATGTGTGATGCAATATGTGCTTTTTTGCATATCAATTTTTGGATGCTTATAGCACTTTATAAGTTTGCTCTCTCCCCTTAACTACCTTTTTTGATATGTATCTTTTTGGAGTTATAGTCAATAGCCTATACAATGTAGAGTCTGCTCTCTCAGATTTACTTCTCTACCTATCTGTTCAACTTCATTGTTGTTATTGTTAACAGTGTCTTAAAGAGTTGCCAATATTCTTTAAAGTTTGGATTATAAAGTTTACTGAAAGGCAAAGTTGACTTTAGCTTCAACTTCAGTGCCAAATTTAAAATAGGAAAACAAGACAGAAGCCTTGTTCGCCAAGGTTTTTATTTCGAAGTTAAAAATTTAAGGGAGGGTTGTAACCACAACTTGAAAAAAAAAAATAATAAATAGCGAGTAGCCTTCTTCCAGTTAAATTTGTTTCTTGAAAAGTTGACTTCACTAGTCTTTACCATTGGACTTTATTGGTTACCTATTTGCAATCATTCTATTGCTGACGGAATTTTGTTCAATTCTTTTCTATTTAAGGATTTATCAAAATAATTAAAAAAATTGTGTAATTACCATTTGGTTATTTTGATTTATTTTATAATTATGTTTATATGTTTATTATTTCACATCTATGTTATTATGAAATATTTTATAAAATAAGTTATAAAAACAGACTAATCTTTAACTGTAGCTTGTGACATCATAAAATAAATATTTGAGCATTTTTGTTATTGACAAAACTGCCACAATAACTTTTAATTTATTTGTATTTTTCTAAAGATATACCATGTGTTACTGAAGCTATGACTTTTTTTATAATCCATTTTAATACCAAGATTCGTTATCTTTTAAAAAGTTATCATCAATATGACAAATTTTTCAAGATTCTATAAATTCTTGTCGCTATTTTTAAATATGCAACACATTTTTTAAATCACATGTTTTTGTCACAAGTTACTAAAGTTTTAAATATTATTTGGATATCCACTCTATTCTTCTAGATGCTTTTCTACTTTAATTAAAATTTGTGATTACTTATGTTGTTTTAACAAAGAATGAATTATAAAAATTATAAGTGTAATATAAAAGTAATAACATTATTATAGTGTTATTACTTTTATAATGCAGTTAGTGACTAGAGTGTTGTTACTTTTGTAGTCATAAGTTTATTGTTTTGTTTTTTATAATTTTTTTGCTTACAAATTTAAGTTGATTTGCCCCTTGAAAACAAAGTACACAGCTTTGCATTAATTAAAATTTTGAATACCAGATATTTTTCCAGATTTTACATTTTGCAATCGCTTAATTTAACCCTTATTGTTAAATTAAAATTATATAAATATATTTTACAAACACATTGCAATTTATATTTTCGCTTTCCTCTTAAAAAAAAAAGTTAAATAACGGAAAATCATACTTTTTATTGTAGACTAATAACTGTTTAATTATTTTTTTTGCTTCGCCTTTTATAATTTTGTTTCTGAATGTAACAACCAGTCTAAAGAAACAAAAATAAAAGCAGTTCACAAATTAATTAAATTATTAAATTGTTTTTTTATTTTAATTTCTTCTTGTTTTTTATTTTGTTAGTTGTTTTTTTTTAAACATTTTCTGCAATGATTATAAAACTTGCAAACGGCCGTGACCATTGTCTAAAATATTTGCGTGTGGTCATACAAGACAAAGAACCTCACGCCTTTTCTGGGAAGGCTTGACGTTACTTGAGAATTTAATAAGCGCTTTTGTTACAATTACCACGCTATTCGTAAATAATTATTGAAAATTGTTCAATTTATTTAAACATTTATTAACTATATTTTAGTAAATTTAATTTTAGTAATTATTAATGTTTTAAATAATTAGTAATTAAATGTTAAAATACTTTTTAATCAGTATTGTGTAATTTATTCACATATATTGAATTGCATAATATTTAAAAAAAATCAACAAAATAGTTTTACGTCTTGTATTCAAATAAAAAACATAAGCATTTAATAAACGTATTTACTGTTATTTTAACTTTAAAATCTTGATTTAAATATTAGCAAATCTGTTCATTTAACTTTCACTTAAAGTTAATAATTTTTAAATAGATTTTAAGGTGCCTTTTAAATTAAAAATATTTAAAGAATAGATAATAACAGTAAATGTAATTTTAAAAAATGTTACATTTTTTTAATTAAAAAGCATATTATATTATACTTTTCTTATTTATTAAGTCTAATTTAAAAAAATAATGTTTAATAATTAAGTTACATTTTCTTTATTGTTATTGTAATCGTTATTTTTATTATTTTTTAAAGTCAAAAAGAATATGGAAAAGAAACAAAACTTTCTGAAAAAGTTTACGTTTTGTTTTTTCTTTTTTCTCAAGTAAACTAAAATAGCAAGCTAAAGATCAAAAATTCATTCATTCAAAAATTAAATTTGCGTGAATTAATTGCGTGATATCAGGACTGAATATTTTTTGCTTTTGTTCATTTATTATCAAAAGCAGTTCACTTATGCCAACAAAAAAAATTTCCCTTTCACTGAATGGATATTATAAAATCGTTTTATCTATTGGAAGAGCAAACTTTTTATACATTCCGTTGTTATAAAACTGCGTAACAAATTTTTAAGACTTTTTTTTTTTTTAAATTAACATTTAGTTAGTAACCAAAAGTCAGTTACGTCACATAATTCATGAAAAAACAATTGCTTTTTAGTTCATTTTATCGTCCTGAAGAAAAACTAAAGTAGCTAAAATAAAGTGAAATTGAACAGAAATTTTTTTTTTTTTAACTTTAATAAAAAAGCAAAAAAAAAAAAAAAAAAAAAAAAAATTTTTTTGGACGCTTTTTTTTTTACCACTAGAGTGGTATGGGCGTCCAAAGGGCCTGGGTTCGTCTGTAGAAGAAGGAAGTTTTAATGCTACTAATATGTGTGTTCATAATTTTCAAACTAGTTAAAAAATGAAACAAAATATCAAAATATAAATATGTAAAAAAGAGACATAAAATCTTAAGAAGTATACTTTTTGTAAATTTTACAAATTCAATTAAACAGTGGGTTGTAATTAAAATATGGGTTGGGGAAGTTTTTATGTTTATTATGAGCACATATTTTTCACAAAACCTTCAACTGTTAATAAACTTTATATATTAAGTTCAAATATAAAGTTTTATATATAACTTATATAATATAGTTCAAATATAACGTTTATCATGTAAATTTTTCAGTTTTTAAAGACAACTGTAGAGGCTGTAGAGAATGCAAGAGAGGAGCTTTGTCTAATGTTTAAAGTATAAAATATATAAAGTGATTTTTTTAATTATAGTGTCATAATTAGGCAAAAGGATTATTAAAGAGACAATTTTTTTTTTTCTAATTATTAAGTTATGCTTTTAATTTTACATGGTAATTTCAAATAATATCACAGTAAAACTTAACAACAGCAAATTTCTTACAAATAAGTTTGTCAAAATAAAATAAACAAATAATTAAATTTTAATCTAACAGAGTTCAAGTTCTCTGATAATAAAATAGTAATAGAAATAAGGTTTTTGTATGTTTTTTAATAAGACAAATTAAAAAAGTGTAATTAAAGCTTTATATATAAGTCTGCATACTTTTTATATTAGTTAAAAACTTTTAATTTTATGTTTTTATATTTAGGTTATTGAACGATGTGTAAAAGACTGTGGGGCAAAGTTTCATCAAGAAATTGGAAAATACAAGTTTATTAATGAACTGATTAAATTACTTTCACCAAAAGTATGTATCTCTTTGACATTAAAATACTTATAAAAATACTTATACCATAAGTATTTTTGCAGTTTTTTAAAATACTTTTATCATTGTGTGAATATACTTTCACCATTGTCTGTACAACTAGTAAGTGACGGGGTCCCAGCCCCAGATAAAAATGGGACTTTTTACGCACCTGGCCCCAGCAAAATTACAAGATATGGCAGGGACTGATAGCTAGGGCTGGAAAAAAAATTATAATACTTTATTTATTTAAATTTATGCATTTACTATTTATTAAATACAGGCATATATGTATATATATATATATATATATATATATATATATATATATATATATATATATATATATATATATATATATATATATATATATATATATATATAGGCCTCGGCAGGAAGCAAGAGCTTTAGCTTTCGCTCTTGCCCACACTCCCCTAAAATGGTTTACAGGAGCAATTTATGGCTCTCGCAAAAGTATAATTTTTTCTCTCAAAAGTATAATTATCATTGTAACTAAAATAAAAAACGCAATCATTTTATAATTATTTTTTATAATTCTTAAAATGACTGTATTCTATTACAAAAAGAAAATATAAAACTTTTTTTATAAGCAGTAAAATAATGTTCTTCTAAAGAATTTTTTCGTGCTGCAATAAATGACACTTGTTATGTATATATTTTTGTAATATTAACAAAAACAACATATGCTTGACATGGCGCGGCAAATCTACGAAAGTGCAAACTTTTGTTTAAAAAAAAAAAGGGAGACAAATGAACGTCACATTTCTATATTTTTGCATATGCAAACGTCTGCGTTTGCTTAAAATTTTTAAAAACATATGCATTACTTCAGCAATTTGTTTTTCCAAATAATTATGTGGTTGATAGTTTTTTATTTATTATAAAAAACATGTATTTATGATAAAAAAAAGAATTAGTTACTTAAATTTAAAACAATTTAGTAAAAACTAAATTTATTTGCAAATAAAAAAAACGTACAAACTTCAAGAAATTAAAATAAAAGGAGCTAAAAATAAAATAAAAGTTGTTTTGACATTTTTTGTTTTAAACATTTAAAAATAATATCATATTTAGTATTTAATAATAAGTTAATAAAAATATCATATTCAGGCTTGGTCGGGAAGCGGGTGCGATCGCACTCGATAATTAACTACGGAACTAATATTTAGTTGCGAAAAACCGGCCAGAAAAGCCCAACAAGATTCAATTAATAAAACTAATGCTAGATGATTTATTTATAAATAAAAAAGTTTTTTCAATAACAGTTTGAAAAGTTTAACACATTTGAAACAATTTTTATAAGATGAACAAATGAAATAATTAAATCATTGAGTTACTGTAGAAATTCAATTAGCTAAGTAGAAATTAACTAAAAACGTTAAATTACTATGTGAGGAAGAAGCAGAACTGCTTCACAATAACGCTGATGATGTTTAGTGAGTGGGCTTTATAATTTTAATTAGTATTTAATACAGAAAAAAGTAACTTTAAGTTTAAGCATAACGAGTTTGTAAGAATGGCTGAAGCAAAAATAATTGAAATTAGTAAAGCAATTTCTAAGAACTTTTCTTTCTTTTGGGAAACAATCAGTTATCGGGTACTCTGAGGAAAATGGATTAGTGATTGAAGTTATTAACTTTGATGATTATTAATAATTTCATTAAAATTGCAGTTATTATTGAAAGTATTTTTGTTTACAAAATCAATAGCACAAATTGCTTTAAAAGATTACATTTGAATAAAATACACATGCATAAAATTGCATGCACAAAAAATATATACATAAAAATACATTACATAAAAAATACATTACATACATAAAAAATACATCCCTTATAAAAAAATAAGAATATACTAATAAAATCTATAATATATTTACAAAACTTTGACTAGTTAAAAAAGATTAATTTAAAACATTTATTTTAGTAAACAAATAGTGTTAGTTTAAAACATTTATAGCTTTGTAGATGTGGCTCCGAGAATTAAAATAATAGTTCGTTTGATACTATATTCTTAAAACAATTTATGCTAGAATTCTCAACGAAAACATAATAAAACTCAAATAATACAATTTTTAAAAATATTTCAACAGAATACTCTAGAAATTTCGGTTAGTGTTTTTTGAACCAATAGAATTAGTTGTTCGTATATTTGGCGGGATTTTTGTGTTTGCAAATATTCTTTTTTTATTTTTCTGCACAAAGATGTTTGAGAACATTCGAGTTTATGTATGTTTCCATGTATGTCCGTTAAACAAAATTTACAATAAAATAATGAACTTAATTAAGGAAACATACATAAATTTAAATGTTCTCAAAACGACTAAAAAATCTGGCCGATTTTTTGCAACTAAATATTATTTCTGTGGTCAGTTATCGAGTGCGATCGCACCTGCTTCCCAACCAAGCCTGCATATTATTAGCCTTGTTAAACATGCAATAGAAAATAAAAGCTATAATAAACATATTAATTCTATATATTGTATATATTTCAGCAAAACTTAAATATTCTTTTTAACATTTTAAAAGTGTTTTTTATATGCAAATAAACATTACTTCACTTTAAGAAAAATAGGAAAATTAAAAAAAAAAAAAAAAACACGCCATAGAAAAAAGCAATCATAATGTTTAAGCATAGTTTCTTTTTAAAGTAGTTGCAAATGCATTCATTTAAAGAAAAATTTGCATGCTTTTGTTAATCCATGCAAAAATCATGCTAAAACATAATTGCTATTTTTAAGTGTGTACTGCGTTATTTTACTTAATAGTAACGCTATCATGTTTTATTATGGTTTCTTTTGAAGCCTTTAAAATGTCATTATTTAGTACCAATGGATAACAATTTACAATCATTAGGTCGTTGCATATTAATTATCATTAATTTGCGCTCACTTTAAAAATGTGTAAAAAATTGTTTTGAAGAAATAAAAATTTATTAAATTCAATAAACATCATTGATATATCTAATAACTTATTAACTAGAATAAAAATTCTTTGAAAATAAAACTTCCTTATATGAACATCTCTTATATTAAACGTTAGTCATTAAATAAAGATACGAACGTCAACATTCATTGAATAAAATGATTTGGTCGCACCCTTTGCTTCTAATAAGTATAAAACCAAAATTTTGTCATTATTAACCAATTTTATAATGAATTAATAATAATATGTGTATATATATATACATATATATATATATATATATATATATATATATATATATATATATATATATATATATATATATATATATATATATATACATACATAAAAAAGTTGTATTTTGTATTTATAAATATTGGTTAATAATTAATAATATTAAAATAAAACTTCCTTATATGACATATATCTCTAAAATTAGATGTTTGTCATTAAATAAAGATACGACAACAACATTCATTAAATAAAACGATTGGTCGCGCCCTGGGCTTCTAATAAGTATAAAACCAAAATTTTGTAATTAATAACCAATTTTTTTAATGAATTAATAGATATGTTCGTTATAGAAGAGCTTTTTGCCGGTCTCGCACTAATTTCACTAATTTCTTCCCACCGAGGCCTATATATATATATATATATATATATATATATATATATATATATATATATATATATATATATATATATATATATATATATATACCCATATAGTGTAGCTTTAAGAGCATTTTAATGTAAAAAAAGTCTCTTACGACTACAATTTTAATTACCTCGTCTCTTAAGCTGTTTTTGATTGTCATCGAAATGTCAAAGCAATTAATTTATGCGGAAGTACATTAAATTTAATTGTTTTTTAAAAAATTTTTAAAAAACCGCAATTATAACGACTAGAAAGTTTTTTTTAATTAGTGGTGTTTTTGTTATTGATTTAATAAAAAACATTTTTAAAACATGCGTAAATGTTGCTACATCGACTATCTTATAGCCTGACTCGCAACGGAGTGCTGTTACATCGACTGACAAATAGCCTGACTCGCAACGGAGTGCTGCTACATCGACTGACAAATAGCCTGACTCTCAAGGGAATGCTGCTACATCGACTGACAAATAGCCTGACTCGTAAGGGAGTGCTGCTACAACGACTGACAAATAGCCTGACTCGCAAGAGAGTGCTGCTACATCGACTGAGGGTTTGGTTTGGCCAGGCAGTCTATCAATTAAAAAAAAAAAAATTAGTTTTTAAAACTTTTTCTGGTCTGGTTTATTAACGCGCTCTTTAAAACTACAGTTTATGGGAAACTTTTTTTGATGCCATGCAAGAGACATGCAAGAGTATATATATATATATATATATATATATATATATATATATATATATATATATATATATATATATATATATATATATATATATATATATCAGGCTTGGTCGGGAAGCGGGAGCGATCGCTCTCGATTGCTGACCACGTAAATAATATTTAGTTGCGAAAAGCTGGCCAGATTTTTTAGTCGTTTTGAGAACATTTTAAAAAGCAAAAAAAAAAAAAGTGCTAAAGATTAATTGGACCGATGAGAGATAATTACAAAAAAAAAAAAAAAAAAAGCTAAATAAAATATCTTTAAACGCGGAAAAACTTAAAGCTAAATAAATTACATTTAAAACAAATATTTTCAAAACATCGCTCTTTTATAATTTTTTTTATAAAATTAAGCGATTTTTTTAATATAAAGTAACAACTTACGATTGTTTAAAAAGGAAACAAATATTCTTTATTTAACAAAGTTTGCAAATTTTAGTTTTACTTTAGCTAAATTATTTTATAAATAATAAAGTTAATTTTTTCAATACTTATTTTATGTTTCGCGTAGTTTGAAAAGTTTAACATATTTGAAGCAATTCTTCTTAGTAAGATAAACAAATGAAATAATTAAATCATAGAAATTAAATTAACAATATAGAAATCAACTTAAGGTTAATAACACTTTATGAGGAGGAAGCGAAATTGCTTCACAATATCGCTGGTGATGTTTAGTGAGTGG